ATATATATATATATATATATATATATTTGATTTGGATATCTTAATGATGGGCAGAAAATGTAATTCGCTTTGCTACGATGTAATTGCAAATTTAGCGTGCTACTAAATACAAAATAGTAATATTGAATATTTTTTTTGTTTTATGATAGTAATAAAATACTTTTTCCATTAACTATTAATTGAATTTAATTGAATAAGACGGTTCTATTGTAGCTAAAATATTTTATTCCTAAAAAATCATTATAACTTTTTGGTCTAATTCTCTAATTTCCTATAAAAGTACATTATATATTGCTAATTTAAAATTAACGAACACTATTTATTCATAACTATTTACGACATCGTATAAAAAGATTAAGCCTCTTTCCTTTTATTTTACAATAAAGAAAATAATTTCATGTTTACCCATAGAATACCCATATAATAGAGGTTTACTGGTTGGTACCTCTCATTCAGCTTCGTAATGTGTGAAATGGTTACAAATATGTGCTGCCAACCATTACCTTCCTTGGAATTGCCTGCATTTCATTTTTATATCAATATCGATGAGAAAGACTCCGGTATGTTATCATTGGTAGATTATAACAATCTTGGTGAAAAATCAATTATTAAATTGTAAATCTTCGTTAGTTAAAATTACATAATACATTTTTAAAAGAGGCCACTGTTTTAAAATATTGTTTATGAGTTACAATGAGCCTAAAAATGTAGATACATAGCAGTACACAAAAGAACCTAAACAGTGAAATATGGCCATTGTAGCTAGAAATACAGTAGATTGACCATTTCAAAAAGTGAGCAAATAGTTTCAAAGCGTGGATCAGTGCTTTAGACGCCCCGGCATTCAATCTACGCGCCGCGTCGACACTGCTCGAATTTCTACCCTCCCTGCAAAGCTGCCTTCTCCACACCACTTGCACTTTCGGCATTCTCGCCGGCAGGCAGCTGGCTCTTTAAGAGCAGAATTCCCGCGGGATCAGGGGTTGTGCAGGCCCACCCTTACCAGTGAAAAGACGATTTCAGTCATGATATGAAATTGAAGTTCTTGCTACTTTTTACTGATTATTTTTTGGAGAAAACATTACATAGATCACTTTCAAATAATACATACAACTAAATTGTTTTTAAACCATAATAGTAATCCTTTACAACAATTCATAACTCAGCCTGAATTTCTTAACACGTTGTTAGGGAGAGCAGGTGTTTTTGCAGTGTAGTGCAGGATATATAGTTTCAAAAAGGTGATCTAAAAATCTCACCGGGTGGGGATTTCATCTCTCTACCTACTGAGGCACTTTTATTGAACGATCTTATCATGTCACAAATATTGGAGATTACATTTAAATTAGTGTTTCCATTTCGCAAGTTTCGAACACATTCATCTCTCCTTATGCTTTTCATGTTTAAAATTTTGTCTGACGCTGCGAGTACAATTGTGCTACTTCACTAGAGGACGTCCATTGCCAGTAGCTTGCTAATCACATTTCATTGCTTTATGTACACGTTGCAGGCAACGGCTGTTTACAAACCGCCGCAGTCATCGACACGTCTACGCTCCAACACCGCAGCCACCGCAGTCGCCGCCGTCTCCTGCAACAGGTGGGCTATTCCTTTTCGCATTTCTGCCTTCGTAAATTTGCACTCTCTCTCCCCCCTCTGTTTTAATCTCTCAATGTAGATGTGTTTTTATTTACATAAATTCTTCGTCAGGTAGAAAAGAGTTTCAATGAATAAAACTATGGAAGAACATTCACGGCAATCACAAAGAGTATTCGAATTCTTCAAATCAAATGCCACTTCAATACTACATTTTATGTGAACATTTGTAAATATTTACTTCCTCTTATGACCGATGCATGAAGATTATAATTGGCCAGTAGAGAGAAGAGGCCAGAAGAACAAGAAATATCTAAGAGAGAAAGCGATAATTCTTTGAGAATCACCCTTGGGTTATAATAAAAGTCCTCAGTTTTATCAGTCTGTTATTTGAATTAAAACAATGATATTTTGATTCGAAACTAATTTGAAGTATTAATAAATTATATTAAAAAATTAAATTATGTCTGTTTTAATAAATGGTCAGAATACTATTACGATTAAAACAATACATCCAAAATGTTCATTTTTTGCCGTTTTCTAATTGAATGAAATGGTTAACAATGGTGGTAGTACGTAAATTTAGTTTTAAAAAATTATATATTAATTTAATATGCAGGATCTTGCCCGTCTACATGTCACCTCCCGACTTTATTATTTTTATGTATTTCCTAGTGCATTCTTATAGACCCATCGAAGATGGGAAAAGTGTTCCGAACGTTGGTCCTAGTTATTAATGTTTCAATAAATATTCACATTTCAAATTTGTGTGGTTTGATTATTTCTTAACTCATATCTCTAACAATAACTCCTCTGCACACCGGAAGCTCAATTGGCCCCGCGCGCCCTGATCTGCCTACCACCGTCGTCGCCACCAAAGACGCCATCGTGTTGTCGTTCCATCGGGCGCGTGTTTGCTGCGCGCCTTATCCCCTCAAGCCCCCCTCCCCCTCTGGGGCCCACGCAGTCCCCTCCAGCGGCGCGCTAATCGCGTTCCTCTTGCGGCGGCGAGAGCTATCGGCTATCGAGTTAGGCCCGCCTGCCGCCACCGCCATCGCTGCCCTCCACCCCCGCGCTGATGTTTGCGCAATTTGTCGTCTGCGGCGGTGCCGGAGCTTTCATTATCAACGGGGTCGGTGCAGGGGGACGGAGACATCCGGCGGTCGGGCATTCCAGTCGAAGAAGTGGGTCTGGCTGGAAACTGAAGACGAAATGGAGAAGAGGCCTAATAGCAAGGACGGTCACAGAAAGAAAGCCGAACCTTGATATCTCGTTTTCCTAAACGTCTCAAGAATTAAATTATTTCAGTTTCTTTAAATTTGTAAATCCTCTCTTTTTAGTTTACTACCTTTCGCACATCTTGTGTTCATCTTTTAATCATTCTGCTTTAATTATCCACAATACATTGAATATTAGGTAACAAGAACACGGAAAACACCAATCTTTTCTCCATCCGAAGCACGCTATAGCAGTTCGTACAAGGCATTATTTTCTTTCTATGTAAAGTGCAAGTACGGAAGAGTGGACCGGCTTTATTTGCGTAGAGTTTGACTTCTTTGTCAGTTACATTTTACTGTAAAACTGGAATGACATTGCACACTCATGAAAGGACGCGACGCCCTTTTATAATTATTTTTTCAAAATTGTATTTAAGTAAAATAGTTGTACATAAAAACTGTCCATCAGTTAATTTAGGACTTCTAAATTTCTTTTCTGTAATTCTTGTAGGTAATTTGACTTGATAGTAAAAAAATTAAATTTTATAATGATTCTCCACGCAACTTGAAATTTCCTAAGATCCTGTGTTCAAGTTAAGTATAAAATATAGAATTTAATTAAGAAGTCTCATTGAAGGAAATTAAATTCAATTCCAAAATTCATATTGAAATATTAATTGAACAAATTCAGGTACATGCTGAGAAATTTGTGGTAGGGGAAGATAGTTACGAAAATTGGTCAGTCATCAATTACTTGTAAATGGTAGGGAAACTTCAAGGCAACGCATATTTCGTAAGTGCATAGAAACTACATCCAAAATGTTGAGAAATTATGAATAAAATACAAAACTTGAAAATCAGGCCGAGGTAAAATAAAACACTGTAATATTGTCCTTTAAAGAAATCAATTTTGATGTAGGTAAATATGTAAAAATTACCTATCACCATTTAAATAAGAGTTTGCCTGCAGTGTAATTGAAATTTTCTTTCTAAAATACTGTTATTTATTCGTCTAGGAAGATTACGTAGAATACGCAACTCAATTCATTTTCTTAATGTCACGACCAAATAATGCACAGTTGTTGAAATTCATGTGACCATTTAATTAGCATAATTAAATAACAAAATTAATCATGTACTTCATTTGACACCAAGTTGAGGAAAGAAGATTAAAGGATAGAAAAGAATTTATGGAAATAATGTTTTGCAGAACAAAAAGTAAAAGACAATCAATTCATGCGAAAAGAAATTTTGAGTTTAGAGATAGAAATAATAAAAATATGAACAAATATACTACACAGGAATGGATCGCCAAACACAATGTTTAGTAGAGACTGGAAATAAATAATGAATTGTTAATGTCCCCTTTCTACAGTAAAAATGTTAACTGTAGAAAGGGGACATGAATGCAACACCGGTAGATTGACACGAGGGGTAATGTGTTAGCACAACGAAAAGAAGGAAATAACAGAAAACCTGATTACTGAATATGTATTTAAAATAAACAGTTATTTTGTTTCACATGCAATGAATTCATGTTCAAACCCTTGTATACCTCATTGCTTAAAAGATAGAGTTATTGCTTTTGAAGCATGTTTTTTTTCTTTCTTTTTATTCTTTGACCTTGAATGTGACTACATCTAAACTTTTGGATATACTCTATTTTATTTTCAACATTAATATTCAATACATCTTTTATCAGAAAACAAAGTTCCAAATATATGTTGTTTACTCTTCTATTATTTCTATGCACGATGCAAAATTATTGAGGTCTGCATCACAAAGGGAGATAATTCATCGACAAAGGCAAAGAGAAAAAATCCTACTGAGAAATTCCAGAGCGTAATGAAACATTTTAGGTAACTACTCGTAGTAAAAGCTCTTATATTACTTTCTACATTTGTTTCCGTGCAAAATAAATACTGCATTCCTCAAAAAGTTCTTCGAGCATTATTCAAATATTCTAAACAAACGCTCTGGGCACTTAAATTAAAACCTTTCACATTTAAATACGAGCGTTCGATTATTTAGAAAAGTATGAATTGAATAGTTTGAATGAGTAATTCACCAAGATAGCGAGACACCTTCAACAATGAATGTAAAAAAAATCGACAAACTGATCTCATTAGTCTCACAGTCTTCTCATGTCATAAAATATTTTAACCTGTTTTACATACCGTAAAACGCAGATATCAAATAATAATCAATAGACCTCAGAACTAACTGCACTAGAAAACTTAAAAATATGCATGCAACTCGGCAATTAAAATTGGTAATATTTACACTTAAAACAGCCCGTATATGTGTATATAACTAAGAATATGCGTTAAACAAAAATATATGTAGTTAGAATATTAGTTATTTATATAAACGTTTTAAACTATAGTATAAAAGACGTCAAAGTAAAATATATTTTTAAATAATATTTTTTTAATGTTAATATATTTTGTGTACAAAAAGTATAAACCTAGAGAATCAATAGCTTTGTACAATATGGCGTAACGTTTAGACCACTTTACTAAGTTCGTGTGCACAAATAAAAAGTTGAAGAGATGTTATTCAATTCAAGAGAAAACAATTTATCAGAAGATTATCGGATATATTATATTGGTATTGTAGCATTGACAAGGTTTGATTCACTTTTCTTTTGAAAGAGAAATACATGAAATATCTATGATCCAATTTTGCGCAAAAACCTGGAATATATTATGCTCATAGATAAGCCACATAAATAAAAATATGCAGTTGAAGAAATATATCTCAGAAATATGCAATTCTACAAAATAAAATGGGGCAACTTTTGTTTTATTTTTGGTGAAAAGTAAAGTTAATATTCATATTTTCCTTTCGATATGCGCAATCAGTAAAAATATGCAATTGCATGAAGTTCCACTTCTAAGATGAGTAGAGAATGGAGATTTAATTCTTAAAGTTTAAAATATTAATTAGAAGTACTTCTGACATTTAACTGTCAAAACATATACTTATAAAACATGTAATTGATATATTATTAAAGTTTAAACATTTTCATTGTGATTAATCGTGACAATTGGTAAGACCACATACGTAGGTCTATTGAAAAAATGTGTTCTTTATTATAAAACACAATTTTTTTACGTTTTGCATGAAATTGCTCTTTTATCGGTTCTCTTTTCTAGAAGTCTAATTTCGTAATCATTATAATATGCAGTAATGCGTTTAATAACAAATGAGGACTCTTGAACGGCCACTAGTTCAACACCATAGCAACTAGCAAAGACCATAGCAATTTGCGACGCGCACCGTGACTACGCCTATAAACTTGATTCTCATGAGAATTACAAGTTAGTTTTAATCACGCAATTTTTCTTGAACAATGGCTTTGCTTCCCCCTCTCTGGAACAGGTGAAGGGAAAAGCCCGCAGAGAGCATTGTTGACAACATTCCAAACACATCTTAACTGGCGCGAAATAGAAACTATTTTCCGTTAAGGACGAGAACTTCTGTCCGTGATTTTCTCCCAGAAATGTATACAATGACTGGAGCAGGTGAAAATCCATCAATAGATACTTCGAACTCTTTCAAAAGTTAGAATGCAAAATATTAAGAATGAAGACGTTCTCCGGAGAATGGCATTTCTTCATAAAATCTAGCGACCGATTTCGTAACTAATACCCCCACTCTACCCACATTTCTTCAATACATAGTTTAAGAAAAGTTTCGGGAGTAATATAAGTACGTAACTTGCGAGCATCACGACTTCACTAGTCACACCGTAGCAATGCTCATAGGCTAGGTTTCGAGGAG